TAAATCCCATTTATACATTTTTATCCAATTCACTGACTATTCATATTTTCATAAATCCGTTATAATGCAAGATCTATTCTTGATTTCTTCTAGATAGCCTTAATATCAATTATCCAAATAGGTATATCTTAGAATTTTTCTAAATAGTCTTAACATTAATTATCTAAATGGATATATCTTAAAGTTTTTCTAGATATCCTTAATAATACAAATCATTTATAATTATCAATGTATTCATTTTTATTCATGGTTCAATCATAAGCAATATAATCATTTTAATTAGTAGGTTCATTATTCGTAATTATCCATAATAATCATCCATTATAATATAATCATCAATCAACATAACATCCGATAGCAAATATCGGCCTAGTTTCGAGTGTTAACACCCTAACTTACCACAAGATCTTTCACCTTTTTTTCACCTGTCCCAAAAACTTTTTTTATTTCTATTAAAAAGTTACTTTTACCCTTACTAATTCTTAACCTATCTATTACATCACATTTTTTTACTACTAATCTACCCATTACATTTATTTTTACGTATCACATCCAAAGGAATTTTAAAAAAATCAACATTAAAATACATTTTTCTTAAATCTCTTAAAAATTAAATTAAGAAATATTTTCTGAAACGGAGAGAGTATATATATTTAGAATTGGTTAAGAGAACCATTGTCAATCATATATATGTTCATTACTTAAAGACAAACTGAAATAAATGTAAAGTATTTTTGAAAAATTAAAAAAAGAGCATAAAATAATTTTTGGGACGGAGCATTTATTTTTAAACTAAAATCAATATTTATACAAATTTAATTGCAAATATTTTAATCAAGCTAAGCATCATAATTTTTAATGTAAAATTCTTTTAGGAAAGGAGTATGAAATTGCTATAGACAACGAGTCGATCATATCATTTCATCCATCGAGCCATTGACAGTATGAGACGTACATGATAATTGGTATACCGCACACATGTGTAGTATGCAAATCAACACTACACATTATTAACATTTTGTGATTCTTTTCATCTTTTTCACAATCTGTATGAGTGTGTATATTTCACAATTCACATAATATATTTTGCAACAAAATATAGAAACATATATTGATCACACACATGTCCCAACCATTTTGGGAGGCTTGTATGCTAAGTTCAACAACCCTTTGCATGGTAGTAGAAATAAGATTTTTCATATTAGTCTTTTATTACTAAATATTATGTTGAGAGTAGTGCAATACTCACAAACTTGGACACAAACTACACAAATTTGCTATTTGTGCAATTTTCTAAGTGAATAAAGTGATTTGAAAAAATTTAAAAATAAAAATTAAATACACAAATAGCAAGTTTGTAAAATGTGTCCAAGTTATTTGTTACTCTAGCATTACTCTTATGTTGGCGATCCTTCTTTTAAAGACCTTCAGTAGTATTGTTTTCTATATTCTGCATAACAACAACAACAACCCAGGTGAAATAGTCTGCATAAATAGTCTCTATATTCTTTCATAAATAGTCTCTATATTCTTTCATAAATAGAGAAATAGTCTCTGTAGTTTCAAAAGTTGTGAAATAGTCTAAATGGTAATAAATCCATGCATAATTATTAGTCCTTTTTTATCAAAAAGGTAAAGCGCAAAAATCCCTCGAAATCACTTTTGTAAGCTAGATTTGGCTTCATTTTTGTCGCTCATCGTCGTGAGAGTCTCACATCTGCCCGCTACTTTACATATCAATTGGAGACCCAAAGACGCGACCTAAGGTTAAAAACCCTTGCCCAAGTATCGTCTCCCTCCCGGTTCTCGCATATGAAGGATCAAGATGAAGATTTGACGCGATCGAAGATGAAGGATCAAAGATGAGGAATTGCTATGTGATAAGACGGTCTCTTTGTAAATCTCATATACGGATCGCACACTGAACAAATACTATATAAAATTATGAAACATGTAACCAAATAAATTTAAGAAACTAATCTGACAAAAAATACTTCATGATCAGTTTATCTGTTCACATTGAATCATACATGGTAAGATAAAAAGTTATACAGATGCCAAAATTTAACATTGTTACTAAATTGTACATATATCTCTAATTGAATCTAAAAGTTTTACAAAAATCTAAGATCTTTTGTTAAGATATTAAGCAACTACAACTTACATTCAAAGGTAAAATTCTATATATGGTCTCTTAAAGTAGAATTTTTCATATTCAGTACTCCGTATGCTTTTACTAAATATTTGGTGGGATTCCCTAGACATTAGAATCTTGTGACAGAGGATGACATATGCTACAATTGAAATCCTTACGGTGCCCGTTTGAGAAATTGACGATTCTTACGTCACATAATGCTTTGGTAAATCCCCCCACCACCACCAATGCCCGACTCACAGAAGTGTCAGGTGAGGGTGTTTATCGGGGATTACGACAGTAGAAACCATCAATTTTTCGAATGAGACACCATAAGGCCCTTGAATTGGAGTTCGTGCCATATGATGACATTTAGGTTCAATGTCAATAAACCCACTGAATCTTATATTGATGGTTCTTCGTTATATTGAAAGCTAAAACTTTAAATTGAGGTAAAAACAAAAAGGAAAAAAAGTGATTAGCATAAGTATTCTCTGTGTTATTCAATTAATAGGTAAAAAACATTTACACTTTCAAAAAATCTTTTTTTTTAACAAACTAATCCGGCAAATATACTCCGTACTTCCTGAACGATTTTCGGAGTATTTGTTAGTACCAGATGTCCTGATGATCATTTAAAATAAAAATAAAAAACAATAACTCCTCCGACCTGCCGGATTCGAACCAGCGACCTAAGGATCACCTGCACCGACTACAGTCCTCCGCTCTACCAACTGAGCTAAGGTCGGATGTGCGTTTCAACAATTAAGTGGACATTTTTAATATTAATACAGATTAATCAGATGGCTAAAAATAAAAATTAGGGACTGGGAGTCAAGGAAAATGTCTCTTCGGTAGCAAGTTTTTTGTAGTCCTTATGTCAACCCTCATTTTATACACTTTAAAACATAAACATTATGAAAAAATTGGACTTTTTGCAAAAAAATATACTTGTAAGCTCATGAAAAATGAAGGAAGATTAATATTTCACATGTGAAATCTTAAGATGATAAAAGCACAAACACTCTTTACTGGTCCATGACACAGTTATCCAAGAGGACAAGGTCAAAATGAGACCATGAACATGGACACTTGAGGCCGATGAAGATCGATCAACCCCATACAGTGGCAAATCTACTACTCCGTATATATTAGTTGATTGGGGGCCAATGCCCCCTACTAATTTTTTTATAGTAAGGTAGTTTTTATTCTTTTTGCTATATATGCATATGTCTTCAACTAAAATTTTAGAGACCACATCTAATTAGGTTAATTTTTACTTTTTTGTTAAATTGTTTTTAAAATAGTTTCTTATTACATATAACTAATTGTTCTATAAATTAAAAGTTTACATTGCTTATTGAAAAAAGTTTCACTTTGAATAAATATTTCAAATAAACTTTATTATTTTTTTGTCATTTCCTATTACCTATTTTTAAGAAAAATCTAAGGATGCTGCCTCCGGACCCTCGATCCATGGTGCCCCCAACTATCATATTCTCTAGATCCGGCGTATGGAATAAATTTCAATTACAAAGAATCACGTTGGTAACTATTGCTTAATGATGGTTAAACTGGAAAAACACCTTATTGGAAAAGATCATTTTTAGAATTCACTAAAAAAATATATATCAAGAATGCAACCCACTTTTCAGTAATGAGATTTTGTATATTTAGTAAAACTGTGACAATCTTCTTGGAACGGAAGAAGTATATTTGTTTGTAGAATTTTATATGTAACTTTTAAATATGGCAGTGTGTTGGCAGAGTGTGGTGGCGAAGATGGTGGCAATGTGGTGAGAGAGGGTTGCAGTGTAGCAGCTGCGATGGTGGCAGTGTGGCAGAGGAGGGTGGCAGTGTGGCGGCATAAGGTGGCGACGGTAATAGCAGTGTGTCTTCGGAGTTCGGCAATGTGGTAGCGAAGTTGGTAGTGTGGTGGCGAAGTTTTGGATTTGGCGACAGAGTTGGGAGATTGGCGGCGGAGTTTGGCAGTTGGACTTGGAGGCAGAGTTGGCAATGTGACGGTGGAGTTGGAAGTGTGACGGTGATGGTGGTGGCAGTGTGGTGGCGGAGTTTGGCAGTGTGACGACGGAGTTGGCAGTGTGATGGTGGAGTTTGACCAGTATGGTTGCGGAGTTCTGCACTGTGGCGCCGGTGGTGGTGGAAGTGTGACGGCGATGGTTGTGGCATTGAAGTGACGGAGTGTGTCAGTGGACTTAGCAGTGTGGTGGCGAAGTTTGGCAAGTGTGGCGGCAATGGTGGTGGCAGTGTGGTGGCTGAGTTTGGTAGTGTGGCGGCGGAGTTGGCAATGTGACAACAGAGTTGGTATCGTGGCGACAGTATGGTGGCGGAGTTTGGCAGTGTGGCGGCGATGGTGTTAGCAATGTGGCAGCGGAGTTGATAGTGTGACAATAGTGGAGGAGTAATTATTATTTTCGGTAGCAAATTAGGAGTGTGAAAAATTTAGTCTTATCAAAGTATTTTTCTGAAGGGGTCTTATTTTGGTAGATGTGTACTCTTTTAGTCTTATTTGGGTTCTTCTCCCAATAATTAATTCGTCCACACAAAAATGTTTTACTTGACCATTTCATTTTCATCACCAACTATAAGACAAATAATGAAAAATATATAGTTAGAATTTCTTAAGAGAACCATTGTCAATTATATCTTTATTACTTAAAGATAAATTGAAATAAATGTAAAGTATTTTTGAAAATTAAAAAAACAGTGTAAAATAAGTGTTGGGACGGAGGAAGTATTTTGTTTTTAAACTAAAATCAATATTTATACAAATTTATTTGTAAATAATTTAATCAAGCTAAGCATAATAATTTTTAATGTAAAATTCTTGTAGGAAAGGAGTATGAAATTGCTATAGACAATGAGTCGATCATATCATTTCATCCATCGAGCCATTGACAGTATGAGACGTACATGATAATTGGTACACCGCACACATATGTAGTATGCAAATTAACACTACACATTATTAACATTTTGTGATTCTTTTCATCTTTTTCACAATCTTTATGAGTGTGTATATTTCACAATTCACATAATACATTTTGCAACAAAATATAGAAACATATATTGATCACACACATGTCCCAACCATTTTGGGAGGCTTGTATGCTAAGCTCAACAACCCTTTGCATGGTAGGTGGCACATCTATGGAATCTCAAAACCAAACCAAACCCGAATCGATCCAAATTCGTCCATATAAAATCAGTAACACTCGGGTGTTCGAGAACGGTCTCTGCTACTATCCTGGCAATAATCGTACACCTTGTGGTACCTATGGGCCCACGCCATGGCGGCATACTGCTGGCGGCTCAGCCCAGTGTAGCCGCCCGGCGAGCTAGCAACCGGGCGGCACCAAACCGCGGCCTGCTCTTCGCAGCCACCAATCTTGATATCCATGTACTTGGCGACAAATGGTTGGTAGTTATAATTGGCCCGGTACTTGCCGTTCTCCGTGGCCCAAGATGACGCGTCCCAAATCGAACCGTACACGTACATCGGCCTCTGCGGGAATGTCGCGTCGATCTTCCTCGGGTACCGTCGGATCGGGACGTCGTCCACGAAGAATCTGCGGCCGTCCATTTCAAGATCAATTGTGACAATCGGCCGACACGTTAGTTTGTTGAAAAAATGAAAACGATGGGAAGCAAACAAAAGTTTATAATGGTGTGAAATTGAGGGGGGGCTATACAGAAGAAGTGACTGAACCAATTTCTGAGGTGACTATGTTGGGAGTAGATGAAAACAGAAGTATAACATCAGACAGAAATAGCATCATGTGAATTATTGTCAGATTGTGGTCAATAATTGAGAAATGTCAGTGCACAAAAGTTTGTAAAACCTTTGATTTCTTTTTCTAAATGTCTATCCTCTTTATACATTCTCCCTGTCACATTTAATTTACAAAACAAAGGTAATAAAATTCCAATTTACCTCTTCTAGTGATTGTTCGATCGGGTTTGAAGACTACCCGTGGATGGAGCTCAACATTTACAAAGGTAATGTAATAAATAAAGTTTTTGTGTTAAATTAAAAGATGGAGCAAGGCAAAAGGTCTTAGAGCATATACAATGGAGCTCAAAACCGGCCGCGTTGCAAGAAAAATCATGCCTACCGCGTCGGGGCTTCCATTGCAGGACGACCGACAGAATATCATCTGCAACGCCTGCCTTTGGAGCAGCACCCAACCGGGATTGAAGTGCGGCTCTACGGTCTGAAATATTTTTTTTTACTTATCAACTAAATAAATTCAACACATCCTAAACTTCAATTCATCCACTCTCATCTCTCTCAATTCACCCCATCTCACTCAATTCACTCTTATCTCACATTCTCACTATCAAAAAATGAATTCTAACGGAAACAACTTCCACTTTGAGAATTCCAAACTCGATGTTGTCAAATTTCTCGCATTGTAAGTACTCTTATGGACGTTATGGTCAAGTGGTACAATAATTGTGGTTTCCATAAATGAAATGTCTCAACTCTCAAACTTGAATTTTAGTAAGAACATTGACTTTTTATTATTGATATAGTGAAGAAACATATACTCCATGAACGAGTAAATATTAGTGAAATTTGCACTAAATAGGACTAAAACATAATGGCTTTCCTAATGTAGAACTTAAACTTTTTTATTCCCTGAATAGGACTTAATAATCACCTTGTGGAAGGAATAATGTCCAGTAATGATGGACATTTAGTTGAATAATGACTACTTGATAATGACCAAAGGTCCTACATTGGGAAATAAAAACATATGATCCTATATTGGAAAAGTCATTATGTTTTAGTCCTATTTAGGTAAATTTCTCTAAATATTATACTTTCATTTTTCCTTAAAAGTTTTTTTTGTCTCAAAATCGTTTTCTCATTTCTATTAAAAATCACATTTACCTTTACCAATTCTTACTGTATCTATTACATCATATTTATTCCATCCATCCAAAAATGTTCACCTAACTTTCCTTTTCGGTCCGTTCAAAAGTATTTTTTCCATTCATTTTTTAGCTTATTTTTAGGGATAAATATCAATAACACTCTCCCAGTTCAACACCACCCACACACATTAATTCACCCCCAAATTAAACTAGGTACATTCTTGAAAGTTTGACTCTTTTTTCTAATCCTAAATAAGCGTGACAAGTCAATACGGAAAGAACATTTCCATACGGGTGGAGTATTACATCTTACTTTTACTCATCACATCAAGAGTAATTTAATACAAAAATATTATTTTCTTAGGTCTCATTAAAGTCCAGAAAAGAAATTAAGAATGAGATTTAGAGATGAAAAGAGTACTAAAATAAGGTTAATAGTAGGGAAGAAACAAGGAGCAAGGTATAGTACATACATGATCTCGTCCCAATTCCAAAGAATGGCATAGTGGTGGAAACCCTGGGTGGGGTCGAACCAGAGGTGGAACCGCATTTCGCGTCCGATGATGTTTCCGTCCCCGCTCCCTCTTATGTACACATTTGTTTGCAACGTGTACGGCTTTCCCGGCGTCGTCCCCAGGAACTCTATGTCAATTTCGTCGTGGGTCCCCGGGTGCTGCTCCGTGTTCGATAGCTATAATAATATAGGTACCAACAATTAATATAATTAATTCACCAATTGTTCTTAAAGAACAATTAAATCAACATTATTGTCATGTACGTTGAAACCAAAACTAATTACTACTTGGTAATTAAAGAGGAGTTCTTACGTAGAAGGATGTTATGACCCCAGCTGTGTATCCGGATTGGAGCTTAATGGAAGCCCCAAAATAGCCAGATCTATATGAACGATAAGATCTAAACCCGCTTCCTGCATTTTGATTATAATTTTATGAGTACGTAATTGGCATTATTATTAATTAACTTCCTATGCAACCATTTATAAGTGTACGTAAGCAAAGATGAGATTTTAAAATAAAAATTTCTTATGGGTCAGTTATGGCAAATTTAATGATAAGGATTGCCAACAATTTGATTTTTTTAATTATTATTATAGAATTTAAAAAAACAAACAAATTGGGAGTGTGGTTTGAGCAAATTTAAAGACCATACCGCCGCCAGCCCCACGCATATATAAATCGCCCAAAGTGGTTGCGGACATGCCGTTGACTTGTCGTTACTCTTTCAATTTTGCAAAATCTTTCCATTTAATTTGCCAACTCAAACAAAATCTCAACAACAAAAATAATCTTTTCAACTTTAATTAGTACTGTATTACGCATGCAAAATTATAATAATAATAATAAAGGTCAAATTTTTATTGATTAAGGGAGATATGAGGTTTATTCGATGCACTGAATATTAACCCAAAAAAGAAAATATTCATATTTCATTTTAATAGTTTCATTGGGGTAGTTAAACAATAATTTTATAATTATTTTATTCTTTCTAAAAAAAAATATAATTAAGAACGTGAAAGTAAATTCAAACTTATAACTTAGATAAGGAATATGTCGTCATTTCCATTTCTGGAAGTTCATTTTCGTTTTTTATAAAGATATGTGGACCTCAATATTTTTCCTCATTCAAATTGATTATTTCTGGCTACGTATTTTTATGCAACTTGAAGTATTATAAATTCCCCATTTGATATGTATAAAATAGACTTTTAATTGAGGACCATACATAAGCATATGATAAAAAAAATGAAAAGGGCTAAGATTGTAAAATGGGACACATGACCAATGGACAAAGTGGTGAGAAAGTGATATCTTTGTCAAGTTCAACTAATAAATCACTTTCTCAAAAACAATTTAAACGTACAATTTATGCAAAGTACCAAAAAAACTCCATAATGGGGACACCCCACCACTACCCACTACGTACCAGCCAGTCCATGAGACAAATTAATTAAAGAAAGCCAAGAGTGCATCACCATCACCATTTGTACCCCTTTCTCCTAATTTTGTTCTCTCTCAACTTGCTTATTTAAAAATTTTACTAGTATTTGATTTACCCTTTTCACATAAATATTCTATATCTCACATTATTTCTATCTTGTTTACTTTAAAAAAAACACACTGCTAATATAATTAGATTGGACTGGCTAATTGGATAAGTCAAATTGAGAATCGAACACCAAGCCAGTCCATCTAACTACACAAAACTCAAGAAAATGACTACGTTGACCTGAAAAAAACTACGATTACACTAGTCAAACATAAAAATGAAAATTACGCGACATAGCTAGGGTGACATCTACTCCCTTCATTTTACCCGTAACATATGACCATCAAGTAATATTTTTTTAATTATAGAACAGTGAGATTATATATTGACAGTAAAGAAATGTAAATAGGGTGCGGGACCTGTGGTGTGATCGAGCCATATGGTCAAAGCACCCTGGTTACTAAGAGACTGGTGCTGGGAGCCCCAATAGCTGGCGAAATACTGGCTAAACCATATGGATCCCACTTTCGAGCTCGGGTAGTATCCTGGGGACGGAGGACCCTGAGCATAGCTTCTCGAAACCACCATCATCATCGTCACAATTTGCATTAGTAGTGTGAGAGAAAGAACAACTCCAAGCTCACGACCATGAAAAGCCGCCATAGCCACTTCTTGGATATGTATATATATATGTAATGAACAACTAACAATGAAATGAGAGGGTATAGATAAGAGTAGTATTATATATTTACAGTGGATTCATATAATGCAATACAATGGAATGTGCACTTCTTGGAGGATTTGGGAGATGGTATAAATAGGATGAGTGAAGGGTCCCACCAGGAGAGAAAAAAGGGGATAGGGGATAAGCTAATGAAGTTGATGGAAGTTATAAGTACAGACAGACTTATATTAGCCACACAGAAATTAATTTAAACCGGCCGGCCTGGCCACTTAATTAGTGATGATATATATGGATTAAGTGTGGGAAAAAAAAATCAAATGGCCGTACGTTATATGATGGAGCTAGGTCTAAAAAGTAAACTTATAGATAAAAGTCACCAATCACCATTTCTAATCCAACAAAAAAGTCGACGGCCTGTTCGTCTATTTTTTTTAGTCCATCAATTATGTGTGTGGACCGTGTAATTAAATATCCTAGCTGCGCTATCAGTGTGATTATTGTTTGCTTGAATTGTTGTAACTCCAATTGACATTATTTTGCGACAAAAGAATATGTCTTATATGTTTAATTGTTAACTCTCTTGTGTTAAATATATAGAGTCGTAGCATCCAACCCAACGTGATCTTATGCTGAAGCAAGTGTCTTACTAGAAGTTTACTTGGGTTATCTAATTTTTTATATATGTTACGTCTGGCCTCACAGATTAGGTAGTCGAATATGCAAGAGAGAGATTCGAGAGACTTGTGATTTTACGAAGAATTCATAGTATACATAGAGAGATATCACTTCATTTATACATATCCTTGTGTGATGTTCTGAAGTTTGGTTTCATATTAAAACTTGATACCTCCCCGGCGAAGAACTTGTTCCCAGCTTGTGATGTTCATGTTCGTAGACTATTCAAGACGATGTTGAATACTCCCTCCCCCCATAAAACCTTTCTTCTTTCTTTTTTTATCCGTCCCACAAAACACTTCTCATTTCTATTAAAAAGTCACTTTTACCCTTTACTTTTTCATACCCTAACTATCACATCATACCTTTTTACTAATAATCTATCCAACAAATCATACTTTTACCCATCACATCAAAGGACATTTTTGGAAATTCAATATCAAAATACACTCCCCTTAAATCCCTCTTAAAAAGCAAAACTCTCATGTTTCACGGGACGGAGGAAGTACATTATTTATCCAGAAAAGAGAGCTACGAGTACGTCCTTGAAATAGAACTTGAAGAAAAGTGTAACACGCCAAGAAGAAAGACTCGAACAACATTTGAAGTCAGAAAACATACGCAAGTAGATTTGTTAGTACATTAGAAGATAGATGTTCTATTGTACGTGATTGATTTGGAGTCAAATTTTGGAGTCAAAATTTGACTCCAAAGTCAAAATTAACTTGGGGGTGCAATTGAAGGGGGTGGGGGGTGTTCGGGTCGGGGCGGGGTTGGGGGGGTTTACCGGGGGTTAGGGAGGATATGAACCGTCAATTTTACGAACGGGGCACCAGACCACCCCCTGGTCATCCCATGACATTGGTTCCCATGTCATGTGAACCATCCCCATATTATAAAATCTTTATGTTTATTTATTGAACTGTAACATCTATTTCAACCATAACATTTTACAAAAAAAGTCTAAACATAACAAACTTTATACCGTTGGTCACCTTTTCACGAGATTTACTCAATTACCTAATTTTCAATTAAAAAAGTTGACCTTATAAATAGTTTATATTTTTGAGTCAGAAATAGTAAATTTATTTTTATCAAAATAACGGCTAACTACTAAGCCAGTTATCAGGTCATTAAACTTCTCATTGAGCCGACCATCAATAAATTAAACAAGCTAGTCAAAACAAGTATCGGTGTACTGCCATGGATGACAATATAAATTTGAGATGTAACAAAGTCAATGTACTTTGGTGTTGGTTCCTCCAAAAAACCGGTTCCCCATTAGATGTACGTGGATTTATCGCATAAAATAGAACTCTAATGGATCTATATCTTGCAACAATAATGATCGTCTAGTTGAAAAAGGCGATGATCAAGAATATGGATTGGATAGTTACTTGACTTTTAGTTTTGTGTTCAAACGACATATCATACGCGTGGTTTTTTCATGCCATGCAGCATCAGTGGCCTCTTCATGAGTTGATGTTTTTAATACTTTCTTACATGTTGAGTTGAAGTAAGAAATTTACATGACTCAACCATCTGGCTACATTGATTAATTAGCGCAATGCGCATCATGTTTGCAAACTAACAAAGTGTTTGTATGGGCTTAAGTAATCTCCTAGAGCAGGGTATCTTTGTGTTTCTTTTTTTTGACAGCACATATGTTCACTACTATTACTCATGATACTAGTCTCTTCGTCAAGCACTCCCCTCAATGCACTCTTATCTTATTACTATATGTTGATGATATTGTTTTTACGAGCTTCCCTTGCATGCTCTTATACATGATTTTATTCAGAGTATGCATCACGAGTGTTAGATAAAGGATCGAATCTTGGCCCTCTAAAACAATTTTTTGGCATAGAGGTTCAATGTTTTGATGACTGCCTTATCCTTTTCCATACAAAGTACGCAGTGAATTGATTCACCGCGTGCAGGTTGATACGGAAACTATCGATATTACATCTATTAGCCCTAATGCGCCCACAAATGGCGCGGGTATTCCTTTCACCAATATAATCTATTGTGAACTATGCTGCTCAAAAGATGCATAATCCGATAGAACAAGACTTTCATACTCTTTTGCGATATGTCAAAGGGATCTTCACTCATGGTCTTGTGTTAGGTAGGGGGATATGTGTCTTTGTGATTACTCTAACTCAGATTGGGCTAATGATCCACTAGTTAGGCAGTCTTTGACTACAGGTTATCTTATCTACCTTGGCGATAATCTTATGTCTTGGAACACTGAAAAGCAGACTCGTGTTTCTAAGTCATAAATATCAGGCCGTTTCAGTCGCAAAATCAGAGGTAATGTGACTTGTAAATATTCTAACTTATTTGCATATTGCGATGACTCCATCGATTCCTTTTTGTGAGAATCAGTGTGACATATGTCTCACAAAGAATCTCGTCTTCCACAAAAAGACGAAGCATGTTTGAACTAATTATCACTTTGTTCATGAACAAGTTATTGATGAGTCCATGAGACTTGAATTTGTTAGTTCCTCATATCTGAACTTCCTTTTACTATAACCAGACTTAGCTTGAGGGGGTATGTTCGATAGAATGTATAATTATCTTATAATATTGTGCTCTTATGCATCCATATCCATACTTTATTTAAAAAGAACTGGAAGTCAACTTTTAGTTTTCCCGCCCATGAGTATTTAATGCACTCTCCAGAATTATGTTCATACTTTCCATTTAAAGATCATCGGTGGAGATGATGTATTTGTAACTTACCAATTAATATTTAATTGGAACGATGGAGCCGTAGCTTACCATTAAGAAAGAGAAAATAATCTATACTTAATTTAAAATTAGGGGAATTCTTTGACCAGTTTTCCCGCCCATGGATGTGTTCACTTTTTATTATATATGGAAAGTTTTAGATATATTTTAGAAAAAATATTTTATATGGAATTTAATAAATAAACAAACATAAATATTATTAATCACGGTCAATTTTTCTTGGGGCAGTCTAGATTTATTTTAGAAAAATTTGTTATATATGGGCTTTAATAAATAAATATAAATATTTTTTATTTATAATTTTCAAAGATTCTAGGGGTGGTCTATATTTATTTTAAGAAATATTTTTATATATGGACTTTAATAAATACGTGTTTGAATTTTTTATTATATATGAAGAGGTCTAGATTAATTTTAAGAAAATTTGTTATATGTGGAATTTATAATTTAATTAATAAATAAATATAAATATTATTGTTAATCACGGTCAAAATTTATAGGCATGGTCTAGATTTATTTTAGGAAAGTTTATTATATATGGGCTTTAATAAATAAATATAAATATTTTTATTAGTCACGGTCAAAGTTTTTATGGATGGTTAGATTTATTTTAGGAAAAATTGTTATATATGAATTTTAATAAATATAAATAATTTTATTAATCACGGTCAAAGGTTCTAGGAGGGAAATGCATAATATTATTTGTGTTTTTATTTTTCATTGTGTATATGCCTTTTATTATAGATGGAGAGGTCTAGATTTATCTTAGGAAAATTTGTTATGCATGGATTTTTTATTATATAAAGAGCTTATTGTATATGGAGATTAGCACCATCATTATTTAATTGCAGCGGGTGGTCTAAATTTATTTTAGAAAAAAATTTGTTACACGTGGACTTTAATAAATAAATAAATATTTTAGTACATATTTACAAAGGAAAATAGATCAACTGATTAAATAAAAATTTTAGTATAAAAAAAGCATCTAAAATGGCAAGAAATAAATATTCAACAGAGTATAATATGGTATATATTTTTATAAATAGCAATAGCATTCATTTGTGGAAAATATTAAGAAATAAATATTCAACATAGTTAATTTTAATATAAATGTAAATAAATCAACGGGTAAAATTAAATATTTTAGTATAAAAACACTCATCTAAAAATGGCAAGAAATAAATTTTCAACATAGTATATTTTATTATAAATGGAAATAAATAAGCAGATGAAAAAAATATTTTATTATAAAATCATTCATCTAAAAATGGCAAGAAATAAATATTCAACATAGTATATTTTAGTACATATTTTTAAATCGAGATAATAAATTGATGAAATAAATTAAAATGAAAAATAAAAAACACTTATCTATAAATGGTAAGAGTTCAAATGGCCTTGAATAACGATTGTTTTATAAGAACAAAAATAATAGTATTTAATAATGGGCAATATCTCATCCATTAAAAATTTAAACTCATTCAAAAGATGTTCAATAAATAAAAAATAACTTTCACATTTATTATGAGATTGTAAAAAAAATATAATTTTTTTAATATTAGTATTGCATGTTCCACTGTGATAGAAATAAAATTTTTTAATTCAATCCTTTACAAAACTGAACTTTATATTTTATTATATACTAATTTCTATTCTTCAATAATGATCCGAATATAATTTAATAATATAAATGCGAGCCGTGCAACACACGGGTGTGATACTAGTTAGCTTAACTTCCTCTTATATATATTGCATTAAACTCTACGTATTAGTTGAGCAATATAGGTATTTTGTCAACATACTATAGTTATTACGAAGTAGTTAGCAATATTTGTGTGGTTTGTTTCGTTCTTACTTGTGGAGACTACTTAACTCGAAAAAGTCAAACTAGACGAATATATTAAGATGAATGGGGCACTTTTTAACTTTTTTTAAAATTCCATGAAATTAAACTATAAATTTTATTTGAGGAAATAGGAAAGTATGAAATTACTCAATTATACACACCACTATGGGTAGATATGATTATCTTTCCAAAACCGCTTTCTTTCAATGAATAGGGGTTAGAGAAGACCGACACTAATCAAATGGGGCATTCGTATGAATGATCTCACTGCACATATGATACATAACAGAGTGTAATGACATCGTCTGATCGATGTATCCGATCCCACTTAATAGAAAAACTTTGTTATTGTTGTTGTAATAATTTTAATAAAATGTGTATTTGAAAATACTTTGTGAGGATTGCTTTAAAAAGGCTAGGCTTCGGCATAGTAGTACGTAGTAGCTGGCTAGTACTGATTCAGATAAGATTTCCATTAAACCTAATTTGGCTTACACGGCTCTATTTTCAACTTTGTTTTGCACTGAATGGATTGAATGTTGCTTTCCTAAGGTTTTTTGGTAAGTAGGGAGAGTATATATGGATGTTCCCATCAAATAAATATGCAAAGAAAACCCATGTTACACCTATATTCCTATATACTTAAAAATATACGGTATACCAGTGCAACTACATGAGTTGACAACAATTTCAAAAATACACATTACCCAAATAAACATCAAAAGAAAACATTAATTATTGCTGTCCAAAATACGCGGTAGTGATGACTTTTGCATCATCTGACTGCAGCATGTCATTGAAATGACTATTTGATCAATATTATCATAATAATCATCAAAGAAGTTCAGTTGTGTGGAGTTCACACTTTTTTTTTGAGTTTGTTATGATAATGGCATCGTTTGCCCCTAATTAGTTAACATGGATTCCAAGGGGACAGCACCCCCTTGGCGAGGTCCGGGGCCAGCGCCCCTGGAAGCATGGTTTAAGGGGTAGAAATCACCCTAAATAGGACTAAAACATAGAGAAAAGTATCAAAATAGGACTTTCATGTTTTTTTCCCGAAATAAGACTTTGCACTTTGGTAATGTGGTACTGTACACATGCACATTACTATACTTTTTTAGTAATGTACATAATCATGTTTGGTAATGTAAGTCCTATTCCGAGAATAAAAACATGGAAGTGCTATTTTGGTATATTATCAATATTTTAGTCCTACCTTAATCTTCTCTCTTAAGGGAAATTAGCCTCTGCAGGGCAGAACCCAGGCTGGGGTCGAGATTGGACAAAGTAATTTGTTAAAAAATCATTTGAATTTTTATTTTTGGATGTACCGAAGAACATCTGGACCCGCTCCTCTTGAACTAATTCGGTAGATTCACGGGAATAGACGCAATCTATAGAGATAGGCGCCAATTGGCAGATCTCGTCCTTCCTGACTCCATAAAATCGAGCAAGATTGGTCAAGGAGACAAGGTTCGAAAGTCACCACAAAAATTCTTTACTTTGTTCTTCAATTATCTGAATTGTTTCGATTGAAAGATTCGAGTGAACTGCCAAATTATTTTAGTCTGAAATTGAATACACATCTTTCAGACATTTCAAGTAGTGATCCAATTTTCCAAGAGAGCATGTTCTTAATTTGACTTCATAATTTTTTTAAAAATAAGAAGTGAAATTTATTATGTGGATTAAATTTTTAGACGGGTGTATATCTACTATGGAATTCTCGCATTTCTAAATTCATTTAAATACGAGTAGCATTTAAGTAGCATCTAAAGATGGGCCAGTTAGACAATGACCCTCATTTAAATTGTACTACGTATATATTTCGTACGGTGTACAATAATTCATTTTATTGATCAAGAAGAATCCAAAAACGCCAGTAAAGTCCGTGTTTTCGGGAAGTTTTTGTTTTTTTTTTGTTTTGAAACCGTAAAATCGGGAGTTTATGTTTTTTAATAAACGTTGAGTTGTGTGCATTTTAAATTTTTTAATTATGTTTTTTGAATTTTAAATTTTAAATTTTAAATTTGAAGTTTTAAATTTTTAATTTTAAATTTGAAGTTTTAAATTTTAAATTTTAAATTTTAAATTTGAAGTTTTAAATTTTAAATTTTAAATTTGAATTTTAAATTTTAAATTTTAAATTTTAAATTTTAAATTTTAAATTTTAAATTTTAAATTTTAAATTTTAAATTTTAAATTTTACGGAGTAAATTTTAAATTTGAAATTTTAAATTTTAAATTTGAAGTTCTAAATTTTAAATTTTAAATTTTATATTTTAAATTTTGAATTTTAAATTTTGAAATTTATATTTTAAATTTTAAATTTTAAATTTCAATTTTAAATTTTTAACTTTTAATTTTGAATTTTGAATTTTAAATTTTAAATTTTAAATTTTAAATTTTAAATTTTAAATTTTAAATTTTAAATTTTAAATTTTAAATTTTAAATTTTAAATTTTAAATTTTAAATTTTAAATTTTAAATTTTAAATTTTAAATTTTAAATTTTAAATTTTAATTTTTAA